CTTCCTTCCTTCCTTCCTTCCTTCCTTCCTTCCTTCCTTCCTTCCTTCCTTCCTTCCTCTCTCTTTTTCTTTTTTTCTTTGTTTTTCTTTTTCCTTTTCAGAGTCTCTCATTGGCTGGAGCTCATGAAGTAGTCTATACTCGCTGGCCAGGAAGTCCTGGGGAATCCTTCTGTCTTCATGCCCCACCCCCCAGCACCAAGATGACAGGGGCATACCACTGTCTGGTTTTTAAAATGTAGATGTTAGGCTGAACTCAGATCCTCACACTTGTAAGTCAAGTACTTTATTGACTGGGCCATCTTCCCAAGCCCCAGTTTCTTCTTGTAAGGGCACTGGTTGCAGTAGATTAAAGCCCATCCCAACGGCCTCACCTAGAGACCTTATCTACCTTCAAATACAGCCACATCTATAGGTACCCAAGGGAGAATTTGTTCCAAGCCTTTCTTCTAGCTTCTGTGTTTGGCAGCAACGCTTTTTATTTATATATTTAAAAATATTATTTATTTTTATTTTATGTGTATGAGTCCTTGCCTGCATGTATGTCTGTATACCACATGGGTGCCTGGTGCCCATGGAGCTCAGGAGAGGGGTTCTAATCCCCTGGAATTGGGTGGCTGTGGGTGACTGTGTGCAGGTATTGGGATGGTAACCGGGCTCTCTGCAGGAAGAGCCAGCACTCGTGACCATGAGCTCCTCTCCAGCCCGGCTGGCGGCAATGTTGATGCCCTTGACTTGCAGCTGTGTCACTGGGATCCCATCCCTGTCATGTGCCTCCTCTCTATGAGTGTTCAAATCTCTCTCTTAATAGGGAGAGGTGGCACACACCTGTAATCCCAGCCCTTGGCAGATGGAGGCAGGAGGGTCAGGAGCTCAAGGTCATCTTATTCCACATATTGAGTTTGTGGTTAGCCTCAGCTACCTAAGGAACAACCCAAAACCAACAAACCGACAAACAACAGCAACAAAAACCAATAACCACACATCTAAAAACAAGAGAACTTGGGGCTGGAGAGATGATTCAGCAGATAAGAGCACTGGCTGCTCTTCCAGAGGACCCAGGCTCAGTTCCCAGCAACCACATGGCAGCTCACAACTGTCTGGTCTGTAACTCAAATTCCAGTGGATCAAATTCTCACACAAATATACTTAGATATATGCCAAACACCAAAATGTAGATAAAAATAATAGAAAATAAAAAGAAAACAAGAGGACTCAAACCAAAACAAACACACAAACCAAATTTCTCTCTGACAAGGGTAATGGATGTTGGGTTGGAGCCACCCTAGCCACTCAGTCACATCTACAAAGCCTCTCCTTTCACCTAAGTCACACTCATAGGCTCTTGGTAAATACAGCTTTGGACCGGCACTATTCGGTCTGTAGAGAGGGCATGCAAAGAATCGGGGAAGCCTGATTCAAGCCTTTTGTTGTACAGTTCTTGCTGGGCTTCTAGACACAGTCTTTGAAGGAGCTCAGAGCAAGGGTCCTCTGGTTGGAAACCAGAGTTCTGTAGGCCATAAGGTGCTTGGCCTTCCCTGCCACCAGGTGGCGGGGGTTGGGCTCAGAGGAGAGAGGCACAGGCCTGGGCGCGCATGTCTCCTGCCATTCCAGGCACAGCAGTGGTGATGGTGGTCTTTTGGATCTCACTGTGCTCCTCCCAGTCATCTCTGCTGTGCTGTTGCTTCTCCTGCTGGTGGTCTTACTCTTTGCTTGGAGGATGATGAAGAGACAGAAGAAAGGTGAGTGTCAGACACTCTCTGGTCCTGAGGCTGAGGCTGGTTAGATGGTGGTGTGGGCTGATGTCTGAGAGCAGGCCTGACAGACTATCCGTGTGGTCTAAGAGAGGCTGTGAGGGAACAGCCACCAGCATCTGGCAGTCCAAGAGGCTGGAAGTGACCTGGAGCTTGAGGACCGTTTTCAGGATCTGGAGTCAGCCGCCTACTCTGTGCATTCTTGCTCCTCTCTGACCTGCCTCCTTCTGGGTTTCCCAGTTTGGGTCTTGGTGGCAGAGTGATAACAGTGACTTCAGGAGAGCAGCCCACTCAAGGGATATGTGGCTGTGAAGGAGGTGCCGAGCTCACACAGGAGAAGGAAGACACACATGAGCACACAGGCACACCCCTATGCGGACACACAGTATAGGTGCGAGCGTGTGTATTCGTGTGCGTGTGTGTGTGTGTGTGTGTGTGTGTGTGTGTGTATGTGTATGTGTGCGCTCTGGTCTCCAGGAATTAGGAGCATCAATGTAACCATAGCTCTTGCTCCTCCTCTGCCCATCAGCCCCTTCCCAGGTTGATCTACTTGTTCTGGGTGGCCCCGCTTTTCAGAAAGGAGCACCTTCTCTCAGGATCACGAGGTCTCTCAGAGACCACAAGTTCTGGCCTCAGCCAAGCCCTTCCTGTCTGGCTTCACTTCCACATTTTCAAATACTTGTATAACACTTCTCAGAATGGTGTGGACCTGAGGTGTTCCCACACCCCACCCCCAGCCTAGGATATGTACAGTCTCAGAGGACAGACTAGCCTCTTTTGCTTGTTTGCTTCAAGACAGGGTCTCACTATGTAGCCCAGGCTGTCCTGGAATTCACTACGTAGACCAGGCTGGCCTTACACTCACAGAGATCCACCAGCTTCTGCCTCCCAAGCGCTGGGATTAAAGATATGCACCACTACTCCTGGTTAGACTAGGCTCTTCAAAAAAAAAAAAAAATTGTATGTGCATGTGTGTGTACATTTGTGCACCCACACTTGCATGCCATAGCAGATGCGTGATGATCAGAGGACAACTTATGGGCGTCGGTTTTCTCCTTCTACCATGTGGATTCTGAGAATTAAACTCAGGCCAGCAGGCTCGATGGCCAGCGCCTTTACCCGCATAAGCCATCCATCCTGTTGGCCCTGAAACCCTGCTTCTTATTCATCCCTTCTGCTCCCAAATGCACCTACTGTGACCAAGTTCAAGTATTTTCTCTATTCCTAGGAGTCAGGTCATGTGATACTAAAATCTGAAGGTAACCCAGAACAGACAGGGAGGGCATCAAGAAAAAGAAATATAGCAATCCCTCTTTTGCCTACTCCCCCTTCCCCCCCGCCAAAAAAAAAAAAAAAAAAAAAAAATAAGCCAGGTCCACACTATGCTGGCCCAGCTCAGACATCCTATCTGGGGGCAGAACACTCAGTCATCAGGCAGGGTCAAACATCTAGAGGAACAGGTCCAGCTACCCCGTGGCTCAGAGCCTGGCTGAAGATGAAGTAGAATTTGAATTCTGTGGTGGACTGTGGTGGGACAGACAAGAGAAGAAGGACCAGGTGGTCCAGTTGCTAGTACCGACAGTCATGAGCTTGAGGAGGCCTTGGAGGATGTGTCGGGTGGAGGGATGATGGGAATACAACCAACATTACAAGTGAGAGGTGGGAGCTTACGGGGAGAGCCTCAACTCCAGGAGAGCTGAGAGCTGGCTGGGCCACCCCCACCAGGTTTGCGAAGCTCTGTGAAGTGAAGGGCAGGTTAAGGTGTCTCCCCAAGGGGTCAGGATTCTCCACATCTCCCGGCTCTGAGCTGGAGCCTTATTTGTCCCTGCTCCCACCCTGCCGGGCTTGCATGTAGGAACCACACAGATCTCAAGGATGTGCTTTCTAATTTCAGGCATCTCTCTCTCTCTCTCTTTTGTCTTTTAGCTGCCGGGCCATCTTCAGATCAGGTAAAAGTGTCCCAGAGGCCAGCAGTCTTTCCCCCTTTCCTCAGTTTCTACCTCCTGGGAGCCTCTATGTCCAATCGCATCAGATAAGCCACATACCAAAGTATCCACAGACTCCTGGCCCCTGCAGGGCTGGGGGGTGATGAAGGGCCTAGAAGCAGCCAGAGGGAAGAAGGATGAGGGGTCTAGAAACATCCAGAGGGGAAGAGGCCTAGGCAGATAATGGTGTTGGGGTTGGGTATGGGGAGCACAAGGAGCTAGGAGGCAAGGGGGTGTCACAAGAAAGCAGAGGAAGTAGAATCTGTTTCCACAAGCTGATTCCGTGACTCACATCCTGTGTCCCCCAAACCCCAGGTACAGCAGTCCCTGGAGGGTGACATGGAGGTTTGTTATGCAAACCTGTCCCTGAAGCAGCCCAGAGCCTCCTATGGGCCCTCCAAATCCTCGGCTGGCAAGGCCCATGACGAGGACGTGGAATATGTCACCATGGTATGTCTTTCATGGGGCTATGGAGATGTGAGCCTAGCTGATGGGGACGGGGGCTCTGAGCAGATGGAGAAGGTTCCAGAAATGTCTCCATACCATGTCTCTACCGTGGGGGCTTGGTCCTAACACTGGGTGGGGAAGAGCCAGGCTGCCCAAGTGGCTCAGGCTACTGACGTGGGGACTCTGTTGCGTTGTGGCTGAAGGTTGTCTGGGGCTCCCGACAGAATGGAGGGAGCTGGAGCCTCAACTGACTTTCCTGTTTCATCGGGTGGTCACAGCTCCCCTCCAGCCTCTCTGACCTTCTGACCCTCTGTATCCCAGGCTCCCTTTCCCAGGGAGGAGATTTCCTACGCAGCTCTGTCTTTGGCGGCCTTGGGTCAGGAGCCCACTTACTCCAACACTGACTGCCTCAACACCCACCTTCCCAGGATGAGCCTGGAGGAGACCACAGAGTACAGCAGCATCAGGAGGTCCTAGCCTGTGGCCATGCCTTGATCTTGGTCCCTGAAGACGGCCTGAGAACATGTTTCTGCACACCTGCTTCCTTACCAGGCCTAGTGGGTGACTGGAGCTCTGTCCATCCAGCCTTCCTGGCCTTCAGCTCTGCCTTGAGTTCTGAGTCCTGCCTCAGGGGCGCCTTTCACGTCCCCGCTTAGAGCCAGGGTGCCTTGGAAGGAACCACGGAGAGGCTGCTTCAGGGACACTGTGTAAATCATAACAATGGTAATAATAATACTAGCAATCAACCCTTATTTATTGTTTATCACATGCCCCTCCCAAGACATTTTCACCCCAATGTCCATAATCTGTGAATTGTATTATACAGTGAAAGACAGATGCGAACGTGTTTACTCTGGTGTTTGAGATGAGTCTGTTTTATCCAAGTAGACTCAAAATAAAATCACAAGAGTCCTTCTAAGGAGGGAGGGAGGAACAAAGAGGCAGAGAGGGAGGGAGGGAGAGGGAGAGACAGGGAGAGAGAGAGAGAGAGAGAGAGAGAGAGAGGTGATAACAGAGGTAGAGGGTGGAGTGATACAGAGGAGCCAGGATGCTTCAACAGCCAGAAGCCAAAGAAAACAAGTATCAGACTGTATCTGGGTGGAGCATCCAAGAGGAATCAGACCTGCCCATGCTAAGGCTTGAGCTGAAGTGAATTGACTGTGTACTTCTGGCTTTCAGAATTGTAGAAGAATAAAGTTATATTGTTTTATTTATTTACCTTTCTTAAGTTTTTAAATAGTGTCTCTCTACCTGGCTCTGGATGTCCTGGAACTAAATAGACTATTCTAGTCGCTATGTAGAACAGGCTGGCCTCTGACCCATAGAGATCTGCCTGCTTTTGCCTCCCAAGTGCTGGGGTTAAAGGGGTGTATCACCACCACCCAGCTAAATTGCATTGTTTTAAATTAAGCCACTGGATATCTGTTACAAGGGGTACCGGAAGCCACGTGGTCATTTGGCCTGGTTAATTTTCAGTGAGACTGTTTTGACCCAGGATGTTTTGAGATGTATGGAGCAAGAAGTGCCTACATACAGATCTTTAAATGGAACTGTTCAGAGCCGAGGAACATGGCAGAGTTGCAGTCAAAGCCTTGGGTCAGGGCACTACTGTGCCACATTTCCTATTGTGCACAGAGCACATTTATTTCAAGCAGCCTGCCCCTAAACAGAGCGTATAGACACATGTCCACGCTGCTTAGCAGGGATTTCAACTTTTCCATTGTTACACGGTCACGGATCCTCGTGAGCAACATTTTTATGAAGCTTCTGATGCAAAAGAGGAGGAAGGCCAGGGGTGGTGGTGCATACCTTTAACCCCAGCACTGCGAGTTACAGGCCAGCCTGGGCTACATAGTGAGACCTTGTCTCAAAAAAGAATAAAACAAAACAAAGCAACAAGACGCAAACCTGGAAACATGAGTAAGGCTAGAGGATTTGGTTAGTTTGGCTTGGGTGGAAGAACCCAACAGCATTGGCTCATCTCTGGACAATAAACATGGGCTGAAAATGGGGGCCCCTGGCTGCCTGGCTGGCTAAACTTCTCACATTTCAACACATCATTAACATCTACGAGGTTCATGCTTGAGAACTCTGTGAACACGCTACCCTCCCCCGAAAACCCACACACTTAAAAATCTTATGTGATTTTAGTAATTTGTGGTTTTGTTAGGACTGGTTTTTTTTCTTTTCTTTTTTTTTTTTTTTAAAGACAGTAAGTTTCTGAGAGCCATAGAGATGGCTCTGAGGTTAAGAGCATGTACCTGTCTTCCAGAGGCCTTCCGTTCCATTCCCTTCTCAGGCTGCGCTCAGTCACCTATACCTCCAGCTCCAGGGTATCTGACACCCTCTTCTGGCCCCCATGAACACCAGGCTCAAATGTGCCCCCCACAGTTAAAAATAGCATGTTCTTTAAAAATACAGTATGTTGTCAGTGTTTGTTTTGAGTACACATGTATGGAGCGATCATGCATGTGTCACAGCACCAGGGTGAATGTCAGGAGACAACACAGCGGAGCCAAATGTCTTCTCCCACCTCTACAAGGGTTTCAGGGTTTGAGCTCAAGCTGTTAGGTTTGGCAGCAAGTGCCTTTACCGGCTGAGCCATCTTGCCAGCCCACACTCTGGTAACTTTTAGTTGTCTTAGAAGGCTCGGAAAAAGGCATCTGTAAGAAAGACATACTGCTGGTTGGGATGTTCTGATCCCAAATTGCAGCCGTCTGAATCAATGACTTTTTTTTTTAAGTAGTAAGTCCCTGAAGGTAGAGTTGATACATGTACTAGTTCAGCCAATTCCATAGCTGGCAGAGCGAATTCCTGACCGTGGTCCTAATGGAAGCATCTCGATGCTTTGCCAGTTGGACTGTGATCACTGGAGTCAGTCTCTACGTCTACTTGATTTGTCAAACTGAAGCTAGGGTCTGGTGAACGCTGGGGAGGTGGAAGAGTGGGGGAAGGGAGGCAACTCCAGGAGGCTGAAAGGGTAACTATTACAGTCGCAGGTTCGCATGTGCCTTGTCTTGGCCGTTTCCTGCTGCTCAAGGGCCCTGCTCAGGACTGTTTGGGTAGACGGCCAGCACCTTTATAGCAAGACAGCGAATCTGGGTGTGTGCTGCTGGGGTCTGAGGGAGGGTGGCATTTACCACCCTGTATGGGTTCCAGGAAAACACATCATGTTAGAATTGGCTCCAGGATGCCACAGTGCTTGGCTCTGGCCAAGTGTGTGCTTATTCATAGCCTCATCCAAAGTTGCTGGGGTTTCCCTCCTTTGGCTTTTTAATTATTAATGTTTAAAAATTCCAGTCTCCTGGGAGGAGACTAGAGAGATGACTCAGTGGTTATTAACACTTGCTGCTCTTGCAGAGGACCTGGGTTCAGTTCCCAGCATCCACAGAAAGGCTCACAACAGCCTGCAAATTCCTGACTGTGGTCTTAATGGAAGCATCAGAATGGCTAAGATTAAAAACTCAAGTGACAACACATGCTGGAGAGGATGTGGAGAAAGGAGAACCCTCCTCCACTGCTGGTGGGAATGTAAACTTGTACAACCACTTTGGAAATCAATCTGGCACTTTCTCAGAAAATTAGGAATAGTGCTTCCTCAAGATCCAGCTATACAACTCCTAGGCTTATATCCAAAATATGCTCAAGTAAACAACAAGGACATTTGCTTAACCATGTTCATAGCAGCTTTATTCATAATAGCCAACAATCTGGAAACAACCCAGATGTCCCTCAACTGAGGAATGGAATCAGAATTTGTGATACATTTACACAATAGAACAATACTTGGCAATTAAAAACAAGGAAGTCATGCAATTTACAGACAAATGGTGGGAACTAGAAAAGATCATCCTGAGTGAGGTATCCCAGAAGCAGAAAGACATACATGGTATATACTCATTTACAAGTGGATATTAGACATATAATATAGGATAAACATACTAAAATCTGTGCACCCAAAGAAGGAGGACCCTGGGTAAGATGATCAATCCTCATTCAGAAAGGCAAAGAGGATGGACATTGGAAGAGGGAGAAAACAGGGAATAGGACAGGAGCCTACCACAGAGGGCCTCTGAAAAACTCTACCCAGCACGGTATCGAAGCAGATACTGAGACTCATATCCAAACTTTGGGCAGAGTGCAGGGAATCTTATGAAAGAAGCAGAAGAAAGACCTGAAGGGGACAGGAGCTCCACAAGGAGACCAACAGAACTAAAAAATCTGGCACAGGGTTTTTTTCTGAGACTGATACTGTAACTAAGGACCATGCATGGAGATAACCTAGAATCCCTGCACAGATATAGTCCATGACAGCTCAGTGTCCAAGTGGGTTCCCTAGGAAGGGGAACAGGGACTGTCTCTGATATGAACTCAGTGTCTGACTCTTTGATCACTTCCCGCTGGGGGGTGGAGCCTTGCCAAGCCACAGAGGAGACAATGCAGCCAGTCCTGATGAGACCTGATAGGCTAGGGTCAGATGAAAGGGGAGGAGGACCACTCCTATCAGTGGACTGAGGGAAGGGCATAGGGGGAGCGGAGGGAGGGAGGGCAGGATTGGGAGGGGATGAAGAAGGAGGTTACAGCTGGGATACAAAGTAAATAAATTGTAGTAAATAAAAATAAAGAAATAAAATTAAAAAATTTCTAGCTTGTACTGATGTGCTGATAAGTTTTTTTTGCTGATAAGTTTTTAAAGATCTATTTTTATTCATTTATGTGTGTGTGTGTGTGTGTGTGTGTGTGTGTGTGTGTACGCACACATGTGTACAGATACCTGCACAGACCAGAAGAGGGTGTTGGATACCATGGAGCTGGAGTTATGGGTGGTTGTGAGCCACTATGTGAGCACTGGGAACTAACCTGGGACCTTTGCCAGAGCAGCCAGAGCCCCTACTGCTGAGCCATCACCTCAGCCCCTCTCCCGATGTTTTAAATGTAGTGATAAGGCCTTTCATTTTCTTTTCACTATGCTGAGAGGTGGGCCCTTTTCGGTCCTGAGGGTTTACAGTTCTTGCTTCATGGAATGGTGACTTGTTTATTTGTCTTGGCATGTCTAAGGAGGGGCTTAGAGGTAAGGCCAGGAAAGAAGGCCCCGGGTGGCCAGACATGTGGAAGAGACAAGGGGAGCCCTGTGTGGCAGAAACCGCAGAGAGGGACAAAGACTTCAGTGTGACAAATCCTAGAATCAAAATTCAGGCCTGTGGAAAGTATGGAGTCTCCATTTTTGCCCCTCCCTCCTCACCCACCTATGTTCTGTGCCCCAAACCAGCTACCTCTAATCCCATCGTCTGCTAGCTTTGTGTGTGTGTGTGTGCTATGTTTGTGTGTATTCTCATGAGTGTGGATATTTTTTGAGGCCACTCGAGGTTACCCTCAGCTGCCATTCCTCAGGCATATTCCACATTATTTATTTGTTTGTTTATTTATTTATTTATTTACTTACTTACTTTCAGAAAAGTCTTTTGCTGGTCTAGAACTTGCCAATTAGATGAGGCTGTCTGGCTACTGAGCCCTAGGGATCTGCTTGGCTCTGCATTCTTGGTGCTGGGATTATAAGCATATGCCACCACACCAGGGATTTAATTCGGGCTTTATGTAAATCACACAGTATGACACCACGTGCCTGCATCCTGCTGGGGAATGGGGCATTACATGCACCAATGGTGACACACAGTCCATGGTTCACATGTTTGTCTTCCATGCAGGAATGGGCTTGTATAAGGCAAACTGAGGGTCCCTCACTGGCTACCCTTTCAGCCTGTAAATGAGCAAAGAAGCCAGAGGACTCTGCATAAGGCGACCTATGCAATGAGTTGGCAGGTCTCAGTAGGGCTTCTTATTTTCATAGTATTTGTTGCCAATGAGCCAATGGCTAGTTGTGCTTGAACATTATTTAAGGATCTGGTTATTGGCTAGCCGTTTGGCAAGCGGTCACATCTTCTTTCACTGCTGGTGTTGCCACAAAGAATGCTGCCTTCTCTTTAGGAAGTTGAAGATCTG